AGTGAGGGAGGGGACAAGAAGAGGACGAGAGAAGAAGAGACGGCCTACTCTTACCTGGGACAGGACTCTGGGGTTAGTGCAGCCGAACAAGGACGAGCTAGAGCTGAAGCTGATGGCGCCTCTGCGGCTCAGGACGTGTTTGGGGACCGGTCTGTCGAGGGGCAGCACCGGGAGCTGGAACTGGTAACATAGTGCCATCGGAGCGGGATGGCGGGGGCCGAGCCGGAGCCGGAGCCAGGGGGGAAACAAAAGACAAAAATAGCAGCGACGACCCAATTTTTTTTTAAATCAACAGCAATTAAAAACCAAAACCAAATCAGCGGTGCCGCATGGAGAGACGGCGGTTGGAGGGGGTGCAGGTACCGGGGATGGCCGGACCCACCCTGTCTATGTCCTGGGCCGCCTTCAGCTCTCTGGGTTCCCGAGTGAAGACAAACCGCAGCCGAGGTGAGGTACCGAGCCCCGGGCACCGCCGCTCCCTCTCGAGCCCATCGCTGCGTCAACGGGAAGCTTTTAGTCTTTTTCAAAAATCTTTTCTTCAAACAGTTTCTGTCGGGATGTTTGTTTTTGAGGATTTTGTTGTTTCTTTTCCCCCACCGTCCCGCCTCCCTATCGGTGAGATGCCGCCGGTGGCGGGAGCAGGCGCGGCCCGGACACTGAGGCCTTCCCCTTCACCCTCCTCCTCCTTCTTCTCCTCCTCCTCCCGCTCCTGCTCTCTCCCTCTTCCCCAGAACCTTCCCTCATCTCTCGCGGCCTCTTTTGTTTTAAAACGACGGCATGGCCCCCGAGGGCCGGCTCCTCGGAGTCAGTTAGAGATGGAGGGTGGGAGTTCCCTCAGCCGCCTCCTCCTCCTCCTCCTCCTCCTCCTCCACCACCACCCCCGGGCTCTCAGTGAAGCCAACCCCCACCCACCACCACCTGACGGCCCACCGACACGGCGTGGGAGAGAATGTCGAAAGGGGCCGTTGAATTTTTGCCTTTTTTTTCAAAAAAAGCTTGTGTTTGCGTGTTCCAGGACGGGAAGTAAAACCGACCAATCGGAGAGTGGATGCTGTTTCTAACCCGTCCCGCTACTGGGCCCCTCTGGGTTCACGAAATGTTACGCGGGCGCTGATTGGATGGGCGCCCCCGGTTTCCCACGTTACTAGAAAGCGCAGGGAGAGTGGGCATCCCTGCGATCTGGGTCTACCCTGCGGTTCAGGAGCATCCACTGTAGGTAACCACCTCCTCCATGAGTCATGCCCTAACAACGTGTTATCAACTCTGCTGAGTACTCAATCGCATTGATTTTTGTTGCAGCTTTATTGCAGCAGAGCAGAGCGACGGTCGCCCTGAATTATTCAAGCGGATCTTTTGAAGGATGTGTCCACGGTGGTATTCACAACATGTACACACTTTCACTACAAATAAAAACAAAAGCACTGCCGGATGCTGGAGATCTGAAAGTGAGGGAACAACAACATAAAAAAACCCCACTGGAGAAATAGAAAAGAATCGAAATTTATTAGAAACTCAAAGGGGCCTAGCAGCATCTCTGGAGAGAGAAACAGTTAACTTCAAGTCCAACGACGTTCTTCAGAAGGATTCTTGAGAAGGATCCCCATGCAGATGGCCTTAAGGCCCTCCGCTTCTTCCTATCCCGCAGGCCCGACCAGGCCCCCTCCACTGACACCCTCATCCGGTTAGCCGAACTCGTCCTCACTCTCAACAACTTCTCTTTCAATTCCTCCCACTTTCTACCCACATGGGCCCAAGCCTTGCCTGCCTCTTTGTAGGTTACGTGGAACAATCCATCTTCCGTAGCTACACTGGCCCTAAACCTTATCTCTTCCTCCAGCAAGGTGGCTCAGTGGTTAGCACTGCAGCCTCACAGTGCCAGGGACCCGGGTTCAATTCCAGCCTCGGGTGACTGTGCGGAGTTTGCACGTTCTCCCCGTGTCTGCGTGGGTTTCCTCTGGGTGCACCAGTTTCCTCCCACAGTCCAAAGATGTGCAGGCTAGGTGGATTGACCATGCTAAATTGCCCATAGTGTTCAGGGGTATGTGGGTTATAGGGGGATGGGTCTGGGTGGGATGCTCCAAGGGTCGGTGTGGACTTGTTGGGCCGAAGGGCCTGTTTCCACACTATAGGGATTCTATGATTCTATGATCCGTTACATTGAGAGGAGCTCAAACAGTTCATCCATTTCACCAACACCTTCCACCCCAACCTTAAGTTCACCTGGACCATCTCTGATACCTCTCTCCTTCCTGGACCTCTCTGTTTCCATCTCTGGCAACCACCTGGAAACAGATATCCATTTCAAGCCCACCGACTCCCACAGCTACCTAGAATACACCTCCTCCCACCCACCTTCCTGCAAAAATACCATCCCCTATTCCCAATTCCTTCGCCTCCGCCGCATCTGCTCCCAGGATGAGGCATTCCACCCCTGAACATCTCAGATGTCCTCGTTTTTCAAGGACCGCAACTTCCCCCTCCTCAGTGGTCGAGAACGCCCTCGACCGTGTCTTCCGCAACTCATCCCTCACACACCCTCCCCACAATAACAACCAAAACAGAATCCCCCTCGTCTTCACATACCACCCCACCAATCTCCGGATCCAACGCATCATCCTCCGGCACTTCTGCCATCTGCAATCTGACCCCACTACCGAAGACATTTTTCCCTCCCCACCCTTATCTGCTTTCTGGAGGGACCACTCTCTCCATGACTCCCTTGTCCAGACCACACTCCCCACCAGCCCCACAACCCCTGGCACTTTTCCCTGCCACCGCAGCAAGTGCTATACCTGCCCCTACACCCCCCCCCTCCCTCCTCCCCCCTCACCCCCAGCCCAGACCCCAAGAAGACCTTCCACATCAAACAGATGTTCACCTGCACATCTGCTACTGTGGTATGCTATATCTGCTGTTCCAGATGTGGCCTCCTCTTCATCGGGGAAACCAAGCAGAGCCTTGGGGACCACTTTGTGCAACACCTACGCTCGGTTCACACTAAACAACTCCACCTCCCAGTCGCAAACCATTTCAACTCCCCCTCCCATTCCTCAGATGACATGTCCATCCTGCAGTGCCACAATGATGCCACCCAAAGGTTGCAGGAACAGCACCTCATATTTCGCTTGGGAACCCTGCAGCCCAATGATATCAATGTGGACTTCACAAGCTTCAAAATCTCCCCTCCCCCGACTGCTAATCCCTGCATCCCTAACCTGTCCTTCCTCCCACCTATCCACTCCTTCCACCTCAAACCCCACCCCCATCTCCTACCTACTAGCCTCATCCCGCCCCCTTGACCTGTCCATCCTCCCTGGACTGACCTATCCCCTCCCTAACTCCCTACCTACACTCACCTTTACTGGCTCCATCCCCGCCTCTTTGACCTGTCTGTCTCCTCTCCACCTACCTTCTCCTATATCCATCTTCTATCCGCCTCCCCCTCTCTCCCTATTTATTCAGAACCCCCTTCCCCTCCCCCATTTCTGAAGAAGGGTCTAGGCCCAAAACGTCACCTTTCCTGCTCCTCTGACGCTGCTTGGCCTGCTGTGTTCATCCAGCTCTGCACCTTGTTATCTATTTCTTCAGAAGGATGTTCTGAAGGAGGGTCCCTTTGAAGAAGGATCACTGAACTCAAAATATTAACTGTGACCCTTCTTTGAAAAACCTTCAAGCATCGCACATCACCGCATTTCAAACTATTTCAAACACAATGGCCCAGAGGGGTTTTCGCATAAAGAATCATTCTGGACTCAAAACATTAACTCTGTTTCTATCTCCACAATTTTTTTCAACTATATATTCACTCATGGAATATGGGCATCACTGACTCGCGACCATGTGTTGCCCATTCTTAATTGCCCTTGAGAAGATGGTGCTGAGCTGCCATCTTGAACCACTGCAGTCCATGTGCTGTAAGTAGACCCACAATATTGTATAGGAAGGAATTCCAGGATTTGACCCAGTGACAGTGAATGAACAATGATATATTACCAAGTCAGGTTGTTGAGCCCCTTGGAGGAAAACTGGCAGGTGGCCATGTCATGTATCTGCTCAGAGATAGTAAGAACTGCTGATGCTGGAGTCAGAGATAACACAGTGTGGAGCTGGAGGAGCACAGCAGGCCAGGCAGCATCAGAGGAACAGGAAAGTTGATGTTTCAGATCAGGACCCTTTTTCAGAAATGGAAGAGGAGAAAGGGAGCTCCGAAATAAATGGAGAAGGGGTGGGGCTGGGGAAGGTAGGTGGGATGGTGATTGGTGAGTGCAGGTAGGCAGTGGTGGGGATTTGTCAGTGAAGTGGGAGGAGCGGATAGGTGGGAGAGAAGATGGATAGATTGTGTCAGGTCAAGGAGGTGGGTATGAGAGGGAGGGTTGATCAGGGGATGAGACTGGGGGTGGGGAGATTTTGAAACTGGTAAAGTCCACAACAAGACCTTTGGGTTGTCGGCTCCCAAAGTGGAATATGAGGTGCTGCTCCTCCAGTTTCCGGGTGGCATCATTGTGACACTGGAGGAGGTCCAGGATGGACATGTCACCCAGGGAGGGGGAGGGGGAGTTGAAATGGTTCACGATCGGAAGGTGTTGTCGTTTGTCGTGAACAGAGTGCAGGTGTTCTACAAAACGGTCTCCGAGCCTCCGCTTGGTCTCACTGATGAAGAGGATGCCACGTTGGGAGCAGCGGATGCAACAGACCACATTGACGGATGTACAGGTGAACCTCTGTCTGACGTGAAAGGTTTGTTTGGTGCCTTGGATGGAGGTGTAGGGGCAGGTGTAGCACTTCCTGCAGTTGCAGGGATGGTGGCGCTAGACGAGTGTGGAGCAGACGAGGGAGTCGCGGAGAGAGCTGTCTCTACGGAAGGCAGATAAGGGTGGGGAGGGGAGGGAAGGGAAATGTATCTTTGGTTGTGGGGTAGGATTGTAGGTGGCAGAAGTGGCAGAGAATGATACGTTGAATACAGAGATTAGTGGGGTGATATGTGAGGACAAGGGGGATTCTGTCTTTGTTTTTGTTGTGAGGAGGAGATGTGAGGGCAGAGGTGCAGGAAATGCAAGACATGCGTGTCGAGAGCAT